TTATATTTTCTTCACTAAAGCATAGATAAATGTCATCTTCTTCAGTATACCACACGGAGATATGATAATGCTGGTTATCTAGAGTTTCGTGGAGGGGATGGAATTGAAATATTTCTTCCTCAACCAGCTCCTGTAAGTTGACGGTTACTTTGTGAATGATTATTTGTTCTCCTATACCTTCCTTAGAGTTTTACGTATATCTCGGTGGGTAAAATTATTTTATATTTATTATAATCACTTAAATTTCTCTGAGACGTTTAGCTGTTCTCATGCACACTATCTAATATTCAAGGAAAACAGCTGTAGTAGCAGAGGTGATGTGATGTTTATTGAGGCAACATACAGTAAATGTCAAACAAATAATAATCCTTGTATTGAAATTTCAGTACTGGGCAAAGCACTTAAGCTATAAACGTGTCGCTTATTAAGTCATTCTTTGAAATGTAATCCTCTGTAATGTTTTTTCTAATGACATGCCAGTCACTACTGGTTATATGTTCTCTAATAGTATTTCCAAGTGTATCTGACAGTGCTTTCGTTTGCTATTACATAGAACTTCACAAGGAATTTGAAAGAGTTTACAACTGAAACTGGTAACTAACTGGTAGCAAACCAGCATCATTTAGAGAGATTATTGAAAACGATAGAGGAATGGACGGCTGCTTCGACCTGTTTTGGGACTCTTCAAGAATTAGTATCTACTATCGTACCAGGAATTGAACCTGTGACTTACCGCCTCAAGACAGTCATGACCAGCAGAGTCAAAGTGAATTTCATGCTCATGGAAGGCATTGGTGAGGGTAGTGTTATGTCTCAAATTGACGACGTTATAATTTAGGGATTATGGAATTCTAGCCCAAGTGGCTGAATGATCAGTGAACTTAGTCTCGTGGGTTCGATCCGTGGTGTGGTCATGTGTGCCCACTGATAATGAGTCCCAGAATAGAACGAAACGTCTTTCAAGTGGTCCCTAATTTGTAAAGGTCTCTCTCCTTGATGTTGTTTCGTGATAGAGTAACGTAATTGAAGTTAAATTAGTTCCAATCCTCACAAATCCTATAAAACTGGTGAATTCATAAAACAGCTGACCTCCACACCACCTACTGGATGAGAAGAATGATATTGTTTGGCGTCCTCAGTTTACATTCAAACATATTGTA